ATAAATACAAGAGAAAAAATATCCTCAGGTGCAGACTGTTCTGCAGAAGAGACCTCCAGGAGTTTCCTTTAACATGACAATTTTGGAGGAGGACATTACACTTTAAGTGCCCTAGCAGAGAGGGGTACATTTACATTTCCAGACCATACCCTGTCTGTCCCTTCTTTCCCCCAAATCCATATCTGCTGCTTATAGTCACTCAGAGACTGATTTGAGCCATAATTTTGTGTAACCTTTGGGGCAGCATATGCTAGCATTGCCACTGACAGAAGTGGCCCTCTTCTTTTCTTCCCTCAGTGTCTTTTCATGCCTTGGTTAATACCCCTGTTCAAGGTGGTAGCTTTTGTTCTGCTCACCTACCTTGAACTGCAGCCAGCTCTTCAACCTACTTCACCATTGCCAGACAAAAACCTCAGCCAACTCGTGGAAAGAGAAAGCCTGGGAGGAGGGAATGAATGGCTGGGGCAAGACTTCTAATAAGTCTTAATTTCTTATTATGAATTTGTACTGAGTTGTGAATCCTAGATTGGGTGAATCGTAAGTGACTGAATGCATGCGTAGTGATTTGGCTCATGGTTTGTTGCTCCTTTGATTCTGGGACTTTCTTATGGGGTGCTGTGAAACAACTTGATTTAACCTAATGTGCTATTAAATTGGTGAGATGTTTAAATATAAAGGTCTGCTTGTTTGCAGTTTTGTGTTGCTAATGATCACAGTATCTTAAGAGCTGGAGTGACATGTTGCATTGTAAAAAAAAAAAAAAAAAAAAAAAAATCCTGGTATTTGTAAGGGTTTGGGGTGTGGGAGGGAGTGTCTTCTTGAAGGTCAGGATAGCAAACAAGGAAATATGGCCCAGATTTTGCCTTGTTATGATCCTTCAGCCATAATTCTTTGTCCATCAGAAAAGGCATCACCTATGTTTCCTTGTTAGGTTTAATATGATACGAATACTGGAACTGAAGAAATTGATTACTTGGTTTTGTTTGCTTTTTATTATTTTTTTTCCCATAAAGAAAATGTGAGGAATTACTGTAAGGTATCATAAACTTCTTAGAAGCACTTTTAGACAGGTTATATTCCCCCTAATCTTGTTGCACTATTTCTGGAACAGAAGCGTGAACAGCAACGTGGCGCACCAAAGAACCTGGTGATAGACAGGGTTAATCTCTGTGTCTCTGCCGTGTAGAGGCACAGTAATGAAGCAGGGATGTTGGTGATCCCGCTGCTTTCTACTCATTCAAGGACTGGTTGCATAGCTCCTACATATTCACTTAGAGCAAGATTTTCTAGTCCTCTTAAGAGCAATGAGAAACAGTGGCTCAAAAGGCAGCTGTCATTCCATACCCATTCCAGCTGCCCCTTCCACTCAGATTTCCTACCATCCCCCCTTAAAAAAAACCCTAATGTGACGGGGGGGGTGCAAATATGATGGCTTGAAATTTCTGGCTTCTAAGATATCACATCCTGCAGTTTTCATAATTAGCTACCCATTTAAAATATACTTTTTCCTGCCTTACCAGTACTTTGACAAATGCAGCCATTGTAAGAGCAATTTTTATCCTAATGCATCCTTAAATCTAATAGCTGGGATTTAAAATGAACAAGCAACTCTGTATATTCCAGGGTGTAATAGCTCTATCAAAATAAACAGAGTTTTCTGTATTCGGCTGCTGTGGCTCTTCTTTTGTATTTAGTGTGTTTGGAGGAACAGAGTATTTATTGTAATAATTGTATTTAATGAATAACAAGGCAAGCAGAAACACGAAACTCCTATAAAATGTCACCAAGTTCCTATTGACCTTGGACTGCAGGATTTTCCTTCTATCCCCTTTGGAGATTTAAAAACAAACAAATAATAATAATAAAAAAGCCGTACAAAACCTTTTATTTCCCTGCTGGTAGTCCGTTTAAAGTTGTCATTTCCTTTTCTGCTTCCCTTGCAGAATTGCTCGCTTTGTGTCGTGTTGTGCCTGGGCAGTGGCTATGCATGGAGAAGAGGCCTGACTAATTATAAAGCAACTTTTTTTATTGGTGACAAACTTGGCCTCTGAAATCAGAGAGAAAAAAAAATCAAAAAGTTACTTCCTTGATCTATACTGTCCTTTTCTTGCTACTATGACATCTGTAAATCTTCGGGGAAGGAGAAGGCTCCTCGGCAGTTTGTGTTTTCTTAAAGACGCCTCAGTTTTTAAGGGCAGTTGTTGGTGCCACTCAGCTGCCTGACGGTACCTGTAATCTGTGCCATCCTGTCTCATGCAGCCCCATCTCATAGTTGTCCTTTCTCTGCAGTGCTCTATGCCCAGATCTCTGTGGCTGGGCTGCTCCAGCCTGGCGGACAGCATGCCCTCGCTGCGATGCCTCTATAACCCAGGGACTGGCGCGCTCCCAGCTTTCCAGGTACTTTCTGTCTCTCCCTGCTCCCTCCTTTCTCTCCGTCTGTGTGCGTGTGCTTCCTTACTCCTCCTTGCCTGCCTGCCTTCATTTATTCTGCTGCGTGCCGGATGCCTCTCCTGTGTCATGCAGGACCCCTGCGGTATTTAACACCGTCTTGTGCAGATTCAGCGTGGCCCAGTACTGGGGCTTTTCCGTTATCTTGATTTTAATATAATTATTTTGTCTAAATTGGCTCTGTACCATTAGCTTTTCCATTGGTTTTCAGTTGTGTCAAAAATACACTGCTTAATTATATTTGGCAAGCAATATCCATCACACAGGCTCCAATCTGGCTGCTCATACCGTGTGATTCCCTTCCTATCTAAATTTTCCTGTATGCCGTGTAGAGGACTGAGGGGGTGGGTTCATTGCCATGGTGATAATTGATGCCTGCATTTGTTTACTTTATTAAATTTGTTAGCGGTGGTTTGGGCACTTTGACTGCAGAAAATTATTACACAAGCAAGCTGTTAATCAAACAGCAAATAAAATAAGCTTGTTTTTCTTTGCTTTCTGAGTTTGTTAGATTCGAGCTCTTCTCCACCGTGAGACGGCTTTGTGCCAAGCAGGATTTGTTCGGGCGCTTTGGATGACCGGTGGATCTGACAAAATTTAGCTGCTCTCCTGTGGCAAAGAGCAAAGAAAGTGTTGGCCAAGTGGCTGGAAACCTGGCGAGGGCTCTCAAGACCATTGCAGACATTTCAAAATATAGATTTTAAAGGGAGGGGGGCAGTCCCGACTTGCTCGCAGAGATGCTGTGTTGGTGTTGGATGCTCTGCTGTGTCTGAGATGATTCTGGGTGAACCGCGGTGACTTGGGGGCCATGGGGATGTTTCTGCAGAGAGTGTCGGAGCTCGTGGTAGCCTGAATGTTTATCACAGTACCCACTCATGTCTTTTTTTAAACCCAAATAGTTTTATTTATCAACATCTGGAGAAAAAAAAAAGAGGAATAACAGATCATCTAGAACCTTCCTGAAACCTGTGCCTCCTCTGGACAGCTGCAGGGGCAGTTGTTGAGCTTGGTTGCTGGCTCGCGGCACCAGGAGAGGGCTGGGGTTGTCTCAGCCTCACGGGACACTTGGGTGCCCCACATCGTTTTGCCGTGCGCCTTTCCGGGCTGGCAGGAGCAGTGCTGGCCTCGGAAGGGCCCTGCCAGGCCTCCTCCACCACAGCAAGCCTAGAGCGGAGCTTTCCAGGGGGGGAGGGGATATAAGACTTTTTATTAGTCTAAGAGGACTCTGGAGACACCAAGCAGAATTTAGAATCCTGCTTCTAATCCCGATTTGCATAATTTGACTAAATCGGATGGGCCTCGTTTTTGGGCTTTCTGCTGTCGAATAAATCTCAGACCTCTTTAAGCTCAGGTTTTAGAGAACCTTAGCATATGTAAAGCAATTTGTAGACTCGGATTGGGACTCCTCTCTTTTTGCTTGAATTACTTTTGATTATTCAGTGTAAGCTTATAAAGTGTTTAGAAAGGGGAGGGGAACTAGCTTATTTTAGCTGAAGATACCTTTCCTAATGATCGGTATGAACAGCAACATTACTGCTAACACAGTGCATGATGTTTGCAGTCAAGTGAGTCAACTGCACCACCATTTACTACACATCCCCTTCGTGGAAGCACGACCTGCAGATTTGGAGACGTTTTCTTGGATATTTAATGACTGCAGGGGTTGGGGAAATCTGCCCCATTTGCCATCTAAACTGGTGTGCTAGTACTCTGCATAGCACTCCTTGTTTCCTATGTTGAGGTACTTGTTTAGTGCCAATTGAGAGAGGACTAAATTGCCAACCCCAGCTTCTGCAGCAATGAGTCATCCTTATTTCAGTGCATTTTTTCAGTGGGCTCTGATCCCCATTAACTCGCACGGGCTGCAGAAATCTCCCCCTAGGAGGCACGGCTCCTGCCTTTTCCAGAGCAGTGATCTAAATGGGAGTGGTTAGGAGCCTGCTCCAAGCTGGGATACTGAAATAGTTCATCATTCCTTAATGCTTTCTTTGGTACCGAATCTTCAGGAAAGCATTAAGAGCTTTCTTGTAGCAAATTTTCTCGTATTAAGTTATTTTATTCTTTTTCCCTAGCAAGCTTGAAGCAACTGGAGAAGCATATCAATGTTCTTTGCTTGTGGCAAAAGAGAAGGTGCCATCTGGAAGGCTACTTAGTCACTGCTGAATTTATCTAGTTATTTACATGCTTACCTTCAGATGCTCAGACACAAATGTGGAAACAGGCTCTTTTTGAATAGCTCTGTTAAAGCCCTGCTGGCTTCTCATGGGAAGCATTGGCAGGTAGTCGATTTAGAGATGATTCTGTTAATATGTCAGATAACTTCATTTTTCTTCATTGTATGCTTTTATTGCTGGAGACACTTGTGTGTGAACGGGTTCGTTTGGTTCCTCACTTCCACTTGGCAATCCTTGCATGCGGGGAAGGGGTTTAATGCTGAACTTGGGGATGGGGAATGAGCTGCTAGAAAGCAGTAGACAGGTATTTAAAAAAAAAAAAAAAAAAAAAAAACACCTCTTCCATCTCATAGCACTTTGCAACTCTTGAGTGCGCTTGTGTCTGTGTAGCTGAATTTCCTGTAGCTCATGAGGGAAGATGGCATCAAATGGGAATATGAAATCCTGTAAGACAATATGGGAAGGCAGTGAAGAGAACATTTTAAGAGAAAAGGGCCAGCCCTCTCATCTTCAGTGTCATGGGTGCCAAGTTTTACTGCACTCACCCCCTTCAAAGCAGCTAAAATCTACCTTGAATATAAATTCTTCTAATATTAAAAAACAAACAAACTTTCAGAATATATTTTTTTCTAAAAATCTCTGTTGTGGAAGCTTCCAGATCATACCAACAGGTGTCTGTTTTCATGACATTTTTCGTCTGAAGATAATTACTTCCCCCCTTTTAAAATATTTGCCATGCATGTTCAGAAGGCTTGGTTTATGTTGCGTTTAATAGTCTCCATTCTTTTCAAAATTTGATTTATAATTACACCCAACAACTGTGCTGAAGAAATAACCGTTTAAACCCTCCAGATTTGCAGAAGACCATGGTGTTTCCTTGCTGCCTTTTCCACGGGCTGCTGTATGGATGGGGAGATCTAAGGAGTGACCAAAGGTTGCACCGGGGCAATTGCAGAGACCTGCCCAGTTCTTCCATTTTACCTGACCCCCCATCACAGGCATTGGGTCCATCTCAGATTGTAACATTTTGGGATCAAAAGCTGTGCTTTTATTCCTTCCGGGAGCCTGAGTGCCAAATTAAGAGTAGATTTATCAGCTTTTCTTTGCCAGTGCTGAAATGGCAAGGAAACACAACACAATCCAAGTTGTTCTTGGATGGGCTGTAGTAATCAAAGAGGAGGGCTGGTGATCCTTATTCTGACAGTAGCAGCATCCAGTTGGATACAGGAGTGTCCCAGGAATGCTGGAAATGCCCCTCATGCCGTAGCCAAAGCGGAGGTTTTTCCCCCCCGCGCGCGGGGGGGGGGGAGCCGGGATGGCCGAGCCCAGAGCGGCGGCTGCGCTCGGCCTGGCCCGCTCCATATTCCCTTCCCGCGGGCTGTTTGCAGGGAGGCTCTGAAATGGCTTCATAATTTTGGTGACTAATAGCCAGAGCATGTGGCTTCAGCACCCCCGCAGCCGGCGGCAGGCGCTCCCCTGGTCGTGAATGTAGTTAGGTGGCCCCCAACTGTTTACAAGACAGCAGAGGTGAGGTCTTTGATTGACAAGTCAGAAATGCATTAGATCATTCCCTCTGCCAGGCTCTGGTTCATGCTGTTAAAAATGTCAGCCTCTCCAAGTTTGAATGGCAGCCCGAGGGCCTCCGAAGCTTTTTGTTTTCTGAGATGGAAACACAAATTGGATGTGTGCCTGAGCGCTTCATCCTGGGCTGTAATTTCATCTTTTAGCTAAGAACCACAAGGTACACGAGCAAAGCACCCTGTAAACAATAATACTGGGGAAAAAAATAAACAAGGTCGTGTTTCTGGTACGTTGATCCACTGGTGTCCTGACCTCTATCACGTTGAACATCTCCACTCTGATTGCTGTTCCCTTTGGCATTACAATGAGAGCAGAGAGACTGACACGGGAGGCAGAGATTTAAAGTTGCAGTGTTGTTGCACGTTCCTTGTATTGGCTATGAAATATTGAACTGCCACAATGCGACACCTGTTTTTTTTCCAAACAAAGTTTCTTGTTTGAGGTGCTGGGAGTCCCTTTCCCTGTTTGTCTGTGTCTTAGCACCTGGCAGGAGCAATTAAGGGCGTGAGAGGGAATCAGGGAAGTCGCAGGAATGAAGCCAAGTTCATTGTGTAATTTTTGCGCTTGACTCCAACCCCTCAATGTAGTCAGACTTCCAGGAGCTTAATTGCAGAAGGACCGAGAGGGTTATCCCAGCTTGGCATTGTGCAAAGAAAGTCAAGCCGCTGCCTAGGGACTATAGAAGAGCTTTGGTAAACAAACATATTTAGGGTTTATCCTCCTCTAAATCTAATGACCTTTGTCTGCCTGGTTGCTTAAGTACTGTATAACCAGCACTGTCAGTTGAGGTGGATGCAAAACCTGTCAAATCCTCTGTGTGTTGTATTTTTTTTGTTTGTTTGTTTTGGGGTAGTATTATACAATCTATTACTTAAAAATCGGCATTTATTTTCCATGTATCCTCCTTGTCAGAAGTCTCACGTAGGTTGAAGAAATGAGAAAAGCATCAAGAAGTGTGACAGTACCTGCTACTGAGTTTTGTTTGTTTGTTTGTTTTGGGGTAGTATAATACAATTTATTACTTAAAAATCGGCATTTATTTTCCATGTATCCTCCTTGTCAGAAGTCTCACGTAGGTTGAAGAAATGAGAAAAGCATCAAGAAGTGTGACAGTACCTGCTACTGAGAACTACCCTCCCTGCCCAGCTCCACCCCAGCATGCTGAGCACAGTGATTAAATCAAACTGCACCGCA